CCCCAAAACCCCAAAACCCCAAAACCCCAAAACCCCAAAACCCCAATTTTTATATAAATTATTGAAATTAATGTCTTCGGATCCTTTCACAGAAGCAATGATTCAATCTGATGATGATCAGTACAGAAATCCCTTTGATATTGACATAAATCCCGAAGGAGAAATTGACGAAGAAATCATTGAATCCATTGGCATTAAAACTAACTTTGAATCAAGGAATGATAAAATAGAAACTCCAGATGAAGGTATTATTGAAAATATAAACACTGATGAGATCAATGCCAGGAAGGCATTCTTGTATTTTAACGACTGCGATATCGAGAAACAAGGAGAAGAATCATTCTACAATAAAGTAAAAAAAATACAAAATGAACTCTCAAGACTTAAATTAGTTGTTTCAAAGGTAGATTCCGAAGATCAAGATGACTCTAAAGAAGAAACTAAGCAAGATTCTGAATCTAAAATTGATAGTTCTAAAGTTTTAAAAGAAATAGATGCCATGCAAACAAGGGTGAATAAACTTATCAATCCAAAGCTCAGTAAGAATTCACCTTCAGAAGACTCTAAACCTCTGTCTGAGCTTGTCAGCGCCTTGTCTCTGTCTGATGGCTCTGACTCACACAACGTCGTCTACGAGCTCATGTACAACTCCGACTGCAAGAACCTCATGGTGGCTGCCAAAATATCCGAACTCAAGAAGCGGATCAACGTCATCCAGAAGTGTCTCTCTGGCTGGAGCGACAAAGACTCTTCGAAGTACAAAGACATTTCATTCATGCTTTCATTCACAGGCGACCAAGTCAAGTTCATGAACAGGAAGGAAGTCCAGAGAATCAACGACGCCAGTTTGTACCCGAGGACAGGCGAAGGCAGGATGAGCGACGACTTGAAGTTCGACACTGAAGTTGTCAGCGAGCTGGTTGACGTTGTTGGAGAAGATAAGGATGAGTCAGACTTAGTAGAAAAAGATATTCACAAACTTGAGAGTCTTAAGAATGTTCATGAACAAAGTTCCGAAATTTTTAATAAAATCCAAAATCTCCAAATGAGTCAAAATCATATTTTAAATAATCTAACAGAAGACCAGAAGGCGCTAGGTTTCATCAAAGAAAGTTTCGCAGAAAATGTACAAATCATGAAAGATAATTTGAAGAACATTAAAGAGAGGATAGCAAAACTTAAAAAGTAGGATTCAATTTAAATCAAATAATGTGGGGTTTTGGGGTTTTGGGGTTTTGGGGTTTTGGGGTTTTGGGGTTTTGGGGTTTTGGGG